ATCATTAAAGCGCTTTTCCCCCTGCGTTTGCCTGCCTGATCAGATTAGTGAGAATGGGACTCAGAACAAGCCCTGTGTGGTCTTGCCAGGGGGGGCGAGTGGGGGCGGGGGGGTTCTACAGAAACAGGATCAAAATGGCACACCCCCCCCACGCATCAAAGACATTGCAGTCCCTTCTTTACCTCATCTCAACCTCACCTCTGCACAAGACAAAGAAACATCAGTGGCTAATTGAGACCTGTGCTCTGTGGTGTTGTGTCCCGTAGGGGGCGCCGTGGCTTATACAGCTCTGGAAGAAAGGACGTGGCACCAAGTGCCAGATAACATCGTGCTCCCAAAGGCTATGGCAACAGCAAAACCACGACCACCAAAAAAAACAGGGTGGCACAAAGAGGAAGGAGCACTGAGTAGACATGCTTGAGAAGCCGTGTGTGTGAGGACAGCGCAGCAGGCGAGGCAGGCGAGGCGAGGCAGGGGAGGGAGGCGAGGGAGGGGACTCATTCCAGGGACAGCTTGCTGTTGGGTGAAAACTCACGCGCTGAATTAATTATTCAAAAGTCCGGGGGTCTCCGCCTCGCTTAAAAACCGTGCCCCCCCCCCAAAGCACAGTACGGCGGTGGCTTCTGCTGGCCGTTTCTATGGAAACCCAACACCCAAGCAACGAGATAAGTAGATAAATTGATTATTAAAAAAAAAAAAAGAAAAAAAACCTGATGGCCGTTTCCCTACTTTGCCCTGTCGGCTGGTCCACCCAATACGCACCCCGGCGACCCCCATGCACCTCAAGTTGGGAAGTTGGGGGGGGTTGGCAGAGCCGACAATGTCTACAGACAATAACGTCACCTGGAAAGGCACCCCCAGTTTTGGGCTGAGCCACCTCCCCAGTGTACGGGCCCGCAGAATGACATTCGCTGTTCCGTTGCCACAGAAACCGGAGCGAAACAACCCATCCTGCCCTCTGGGGCGGCGGTTATTTATTTATCTGGCAGATGCTTCTGTGTGGCGCTGCTGTGGTGCCTTCAGTAACTCATTCACCCCCCTCCACCCCCCTGATCGAGCACAGGGGACGAGCGGCCGCTGCCCGTTAATCCAATCAATGTTCACCGCGCAACGGTACAACAGCACGTCCCACACCCTGCCACTGCCGCGGCACCATCCCTTGACATTCATCATTTGATGTGCATCGTATAAGCTGGGGGGTGGGGGGTGAAAATCGCGCTGTCCCATGTGTGAGAAAGCACCAGCCAATGGGTAGACAGCACCCTGCTGTATTATGGCGACTCTGGGAAGTGGGAGAGGTGCCCTCGTGAGGACAGGGTATTCTGCAGGGGGCGCTCTTTGCCCTTCATCCAGTCAGGCTCCATTAGCACCCCGCTAATAACGAAAACCTCCTTGTGTGTGTGTGTGTGTGTGTGTTTGGTGGGGGAGGCTTTGGTGCCAGGTGCCCCCGCCCCCCTGGGTTATGTGGGCTTTGCCCACGGCAACGCCAATCGCAGCAGCGTGGAAATGACGGGGAGGTGGGGCCGAGGTAGAACAAAGAGGGAGGGGGAGGGGGGAGACCCACTCAGGGGTGGCGTGATAAACAGATTATTATTACAGTCACTGTTTACACGCATTGCCAGCGCCACTGGAAACAATAGTGTGCGACGGCAGGAGGACTGCAGGAAACTCTCAGGATTACCTCACGCACAGAGGAATCATTACTATTATCAGTAGCAGCAGCTGCAGCATTATAAAATTCCCAACTTTCCTTGAAGAAAACGCTATTTTAACCATACCCACGGTACAGACCCACCCACCACTAAATGAACTCCCAGTCAAATAAGCCTAACCCAACAGCACCTTCAAGTCCAAAAAATGTGACCGTAATGGAGCTTCACAGGAAGAGGGGAAAAAAATATATACATATATGCACAGATACAGACCAACCACAATGTACAGAGTCCAACAAGCAACATAAACAGGCACAATCTTGGAACATCAAGGCCCAGTGAGTCTGTTAACCCAAAGAGGGGACCATATGGCCAGGCCGGCCCTTTGAAGTGCTCACACACACACACACACACACACACATGTAGGGTAAACATATCCTTATGGGGATTCATTTCAATGGGAAAAATGCTAACGCTAACTATGACAACCTTAACCCCAACCCTGCCCTAACCATAACCATAAGTAACCTAACAAAATACAAGAGTTTATCCATTTTTAGTTTTTTCATAGCAGTCACCGATTTTTATAAAATAGAGTTCTCCTTTATGGGGACCAGGAAAAAAACCTGATATTTATCACGTTCTGGGGACATTGTGTCCCCATAAGGATAGGTAAACCCGTTCGCGCACACACACACACACACACACAC